AGTAGTAGTAGTAGTAGTAGTACCTGGACACGTTGCTGTTGTCTCGGACTCGGGCGTGGTACAGTAGTAGTAGTAGTAGTAGTAGTAGTAGTAGTATTAGTAGTAGTAGTAGTCCACGTGTGTTGTCTCGGACACAGTGTTAGCTGTTGTCTCGGACTCGGGCGTGGCAGTAGTAGTAGTAGTAGTAGTAGTAGTAGTAGTAGTAGTAGTAGTAGTAGTAGCCTGGACACGTTGCTGTTGTCTCGGACTCGGGCGTGGCAGTAGTAGTAGTAGTAGTAGTAGTAGTAGTAGTAGTAGTAGTAGTAGTAGTAGCGTTGCTGTAGTAGTAGTAGTAGTAGTAGTAGTTGTAGTAGTAGTAGCAGTAGTAGTAGTAGTAGCAGTAGTAGTATGTTACCTGCATAGTGATGATGAGTACGTCGAGTGCGTACGGTTCTTCGGGGGTGGACAGACTCTTCCTTTGGCTCTGGAGTTTGGTCACTGCCGTCCACTTCCCGCTGAAGGCGGAGCTCTGAGAGTCCAGCTCCCTGACCGTGACCAGCAGCACGTTTCCATGACGATCTTTAATGGGCTCAAAATGCACACGACCAAGGTTATGTGTCCCCAACAGGTTCTGAGGAGAAACACCAGGATCAGACCAGGACTAGACCAAGACTAGACCAGGACTAAACCAGGACTACAGAAGTCCTGCCCAACAGGTTCTAAGGAGAAAGAATCCACCACTAGTTTAGACCAAAACCAAGTCTAAATCAGGTCTAAATCAGGTCTAAATCAGGTCTAAAACAGGTCTAAATCAGGTCTAAAACAGGTCTAAAACAGGTCTAAATCAGGTCTAAAACAGGTCTAAAACAGGTTTAAATCAGGTTTCAGACCACAACCAAGAAAAAGAGGAAACATCAGTGAGTGTTGGACAGGAGGAGTATTTACAGTAGTATTTACAGTAGTATTAGCAGTAGTATTTACAGTAGTATTTGCAGTAGTATTTGCACTAGTATTTGCAGTAGTATTTGCAGTAGTATTTACAGTAGTATTTACAGTAGTATTTGCAGTAGTATTTACAGTAGTATTTGCAGTAGTATTTGCAGTAGTATTTACAGTAGTATTTGCACTAGTATTTGCAGTAGTATTTACAGTAGTATTTGCAGTAGTATTTGCAGTAGTATTTGCAGTAGTATTTGCAGTAGTATTTGCAGTAGTATTTACAGTAGTATTTACAGTAGTATTTGCAAGTAGTATACAGTAGTATTTAGCAGTAGTATTTACAGTAGTATTTACAGTAGTATTAGTACAGTAGTATTACAGTAGTATTCAGTAGTATTTACAGTAGTATTTAGCAGTAGTAATATTGCAGTAGTATTTTCAGTATTTTGTAGTTTGCAGTAGTATTTTAGTATTCAGTAGTCAGTAGTTTTGCAGTAGTTTTTAGCAGTAGTATTTGCAGTAGTATTTGCACTAGTATTAGCAGTAGTATTTACAGTAGTATTTGCAGTAGTATTTGCAGTAGTATTAGTATTGCAGTAGTATTTACAGCAGTAGTAGTTGGCAGTTAGTATTTTGCAGTAGTATTTGCAGTAGTATTAGCAGTAGTATAGTAGTATTGCAGTAGTATTTGCACTAGTATTTATGCAGTAGTATTTAGCAGTAGTATTTACAGTAGTATTACAGTAGTATTATGCAGTAGTTTGCAGTAGTATTTAGCAGTAGTATTTACAGTAGTATTTGCAGTAGTATTTGCACTAGTAGTAGTAGTATTAGCAGTAGTATTTGCAGTAGTAGTATTTACAGTAGTATTTACAGTAGTAGTTTGCAGTAGTATTTTGCAGTAGTATTTACAGTAGTATTTACAGTAGTATTTTAGTAGTTACAGTAGTAGTAGTTTTGCAGTAGTATTTGCACTAGTATTCAGTAGTAGTATTTACTAGTAGTATTTGCAGTAGTATTTAGCAGTAGTATTTACAGTAGTATTTAGCAGTAGTATTTGCAGTAGTAGTAGTAGTTTACATAGTTTTAGCAGTAGTATTTGCAGTAGTATTTGCAGTAAGTATTAGCAGTAGTATTAGCAGTAGTATTTTACAGTAGTATTTACAGTAGTATTTGCAGTAGTATTTGCACTAGTATTAGCAGTAGTAATTTGCACAGTATATTACAGTAGTATTTACAGTAGTATTTGCAGTAGTATTTAGCAGTAGTATTAGCAGTAGTATTAGCAGTAGTATTTACAGTAGTATTTGCAGTAGTATTAGCAGTAGTATTTGCAGTAGTATTTGCAGTAGTATTTGCAGTAGTATTAGCAGTAGTATTACAGTAGTATAGTTACAGTAGTATTTGCAGTAGTATTAGCAGTATTAGTAGTATTTAGCAGTAGTATTTAGTATTTGCAGTAGTATTTAGCAGTAGTATTTAGCAGTAGTATTTACAGTAGTATTTACAGTAGTATTTACAGTAGTATTTGCAGTATTGTATTTAGTATTACAGTAGTATTTAGCAGTAGTATTTAGTAGCAGTAGTATTTACAGTAGTAATTTTAGCAGTAGTATTTAGCAGTAGTATTTGCAGTAGTATTATAGTATTTACAGTAGTATTTTAGTCAGTAGTATTTGTAGTATTAGTAGTCAGTAGTATTTACAGTAGTATTTGCAGTAGTATTTAGCAGTAGTATTTAGCAGTAGTATTTACAGTAGTATTAGCAGTAGTATTTACAGTAGTATTTACAGTAGTATTAGCAGTAGTATTAGCAGTAGTATTAGCAGTAGTATTTACAGTAGTATTTACAGTAGTATTTGCAGTAGTATTAGCAGTAGTATTTGCAGTAGTATTAGTAGTATTTGCAGTAGTATTTGCAGTAGTATTTACAGTAGTATTTGCAGTAGTATTTGCAGTAGTATTAGCAGTAGTATTTACAGTAGTATTTGTATTTAGCAGTAGTAATTTCAGTAGTATTTAGCAGTAGTATTTTAGTTTGCAGTAGTATTTACAGTAGTATATTTAGCAGTAGTAGTATAATTTACAGTAGTATTTGCAGTAGTATTTGCAGTAGTATTATTAGCAGTAGTATTTAGCAGTAGTATTACAGTAGTATTTGCAGTAGTATTTGCAGTAGTATTTGTAGTAGTATTAGCAGTATATTGCAGTATTTAGTATATTTACAGTAGTATTTGCAGTAGTAGTATTTACAGTAGTATTCAGCAGTAGTATTTTACAGTAGTATTTGCAGTAGTAGTATTAGCAGTAGTATATTTGACAGTAGTATTTTGCAGTAGTATTTGCAGTAGTATTTGCAGTAGTATTAGCAGTAGTATTAGCAGTATTAGTAGTATTGCAGTAGTATTTACAGTATATTTGCAGTAGTATTAGCAGTAGTATTTACAGTAGTATTGCAGTATACAGTATTTTACAGTAGTATTTACAGTAGTATTTGCAGTAGTATTAGCAGTAGTATTTACAGTAGTATTAGCAGTAGTATTTACAGTAGTATTAGCAGTAGTATTTACAGTAGTATTTACAGTAGTATTTGCAGTAGTATTGCAGTAGTATTTAGCAGTAGTATTAGCAGTAGTATTTACAGTAGTATTTACAGTAGTATTTGCAGTAGTATTTGCAGTAGTATTTAGCAGTAGTATTTGCAGTAGTATTTACAGTAGTATTTACAGTAGTATTTTACAGTAGTATTTTAGCAGTAGTATTGCAGTAGTATTTAGCAGTAGTATTAGCAGTAGTAGTTTGCAGTAGTATTAGCAGTAGTATTTGCAGTAGTAGTTTGCAGTAGTATTTAGTAGTATCAGTAGTATTTACAGTAGTATTTATATATTTGCAGTAGTCATAGTATTTAGCAGTAGTATTTAGCAGTAGTATTTAGCAGTAGTATTTACAGTAGTATTTAGCAGTAGTATTTGCAGTAGTATTTACAGTAGTATTTACAGTAGTATTTGCAGTAGTATTAGCAGTAGTATTTAGCAGTAGTATTTAGTAGTATTAGTAGTATTTACAGTAGTATTTGCAGTAGTATTTACAGTAGTATTTACAGTAGTATTTACAGTAGTATTTGCAGCAGTAGTATTAGCAGTAGTATTAGCAGTAGTATTTAGCAGTAGTAGTAGTATTGCAGTAGTATTTGTAGCAGTAGTATTTGCAGTAGTATTTACAGTAGTATTTGTATTTACAGTAGTATTTGCAGTAGCAGTATTTAGCAGTAGTATTTGCAGTAGTATTTGCAGTAGTATTTAGCAGTAGTATTTAGCATAGTATTTACAGTAGTATTACAGTAGTACTTACAGTAGTAGTATTTGCAGTAGTATTAGCAGTAGTATAGTTAGTAGTATTAGCAGTAGTATTTACAGTAGTATTTGCAGTAGTATTTGCAGTAGTATTAGCAGTAGTATTATTGCAGTAGTATTTGCAGTTATAGTATTAGCAGTAGTATTTGCAGTAGTATTTGCAGTAGTATTAGCAGTAGTATTTACAGTAGTATTTACAGTAGTATTTACAGTAGTATTAGCAGTAGTATTTGCAGTAGTATTAGCAGTAGTATTAGCAGTAGTATTAGCAGTAGTATTTGCAGTAGTATTGCAGTAGTATTTACAGTAGTATTAGCAGTAGTATTTGCAGTAGTATTTGCAGTAGTATTAGCAGTAGTATTTGCAGTAGTATTTAGTAGTATTAGCAGTAGTATTTACAGTAGTATTTGCAGTAGTATTTACAGTAGTATATTTAGCAGTAGTATTTTAGCAGTAGTATTTAGCAGTAGTAGTATTTAGCAGTAGTATTTGCAGTAGTATTTGCAGTAGTATAGTAGTTAGCAGTAGTATTTAGCAGTAGTATTTAGCAGTAGTAGTTTGCAGTAGTATTAGTAGTAGTTTTAGCAGTAGTATTTAGCAGTAGTATTTGCAGTAGTATTTGCAGTAGTATTAGCAGTAGTATTAGCAGTAGTATTTACAGTAGTATTTACAGTAGTATTTACAGTATTTAGCAGTAGTATTTGCAGTAGTATTAGCAGTAGTATTAGCAGTAGTATTTGCAGTAGTATTTACAGTAGTATTTGCACAGTAGTATTTACAGTAGTATTTGCAGTAGTATTAGCAGTAGTATTTGCAGTAGTATTTAGCAGTAGTATTTGCAGTAGTATTAGCAGTAGTATTTAGCAGTAGTATTTGCAGTAGTATTACAGTAGTATTTGCAGTAGTATTTGCAGTAGTATTAGCAGTAGTATTTGCAGTAGTATTTACAGTAGTATTTGCAGTAGTATTTGCAGTAGTATTAGCAGTAGTATTTGCAGTAGTATTTGCAGTAGTATTAGCAGTAGTATTTACAGTAGTATTTGCAGTAGTATTTACAGTAGTATTTACAGTAGTATTTGCAGTAGTATTTAGCAGTAGTATTTACAGTAGTATTTGCAGTAGTATTTGCAGTAGTATTTGCAGTAGTATTTGCAGTAGTATTTGCAGTAGTATTTAGTATTGCAGTAGTATTTGCAGTAGTATTTAGTAGTTACAGTAGTATTTGCAGTAGTATTTGCACTAGTATTTACAGTAGTATTTGCAGTAGTATTAGCAGTAGTACCTGCATGTGCGCGGCTGCTGTGAGCATCTTGTGTCTGGTTTGCAGGGTGGAGGAGGACGACATGGACACGGACATGCTCTGCCTGAGCCACCGCACGTCCTCCCACATACACGACAACTGCACCAAAACAAACGAAATATTAAAGAACAAACCACAGCCTCCCAAAAAAACCAAAAACTGCACCAAAACAAAGTCAATGTCAAATAAAACATCAATAATATTAAACAAAACACAAACTACAATCTCCCCAAAACACAACATCAAACCTCATCAACAATAAGTTATAAATATAAAACAATTGATACTTTGCAGTTGCATCACGCTGGGGCAGTTCTACATGTATCTCTGTGGTGGAATGTTCAGCAGTTGTCATGGAAACAGTGCAGAGATCAGCAAACGCTGTCAAAGAAAGTTTCAAGATTGTCTGAAACTGTGATTTGAGAGGCACTTGTGTAACAGCACAGATCAGATCACCGGTTCTAGTTCCAGTTTTGTGGTCAGATTGTGTAAAAATAAAACTCAGATTAAAGTCTTAAAGTGTAAAAGAGCTTCAAACAGAGACGTGCCTCTAGTTAGCGTTTACAACCCTAGTCAAAATGGAAGACTTCAGCTGCAAAGTACCAATATAAAGTAAAAGACAAAAGGCATCTGCAGAATCAAACTGGAGTGACAGTGTCAGGATCCAGAGCGGCACAGTTACCCACAGATTTAAATCAAACAGGAATTTACAAATGTGACAGAAAGTGAATTCTGATTTCTCTTTATCAGACAGAAGAGGAGTTCAGATCATTTCACAGAGTTGAAGTTAGTTTGATTAAATCCTGTCTGAATACTGGGAGTGAGTCCAGCACATAGTTTTGGGCTCAGATTGGACCTGGGATCGACAGGACACGTGTAAATGTGACGGTGCTGTGTGTTTCCTGGGATCTCTGTCAGTACCGTGTTGTGTTTTTGTGTGTAAAAGTAAAAGTACTCGGACCTTGGTGAACCAGAGGAAGTCCTGCATCAGGGAGCTGCCGAAACAGTCGTCCACCTCCACGATGGGGATGTGGTCGTCAGGCGTGAGCAGCAGACTGTCCCTGTGGTACAAGACTGTGGCCAAGTACACGCCTCTGGAACACAAAGTACACGTAAATATATACTACTACTACTACTACTACTACTACAACACCTGTGGTACAAGACTGTGGCCAAGTACACGCCTCTGGAACACAAAAGTACACGTAAATATATACTACTACTACTATTACTACTACTACTACTGCTACAACTACTATGACTACTACTACTACTACTACTATTACTACTGCTACTGCTACTACTACTGCTACTACTACTACTACTACAACTACTATGGCTACTACTACTACTACTACTACACCTGTGGTACAAGACTGTGGCCAAGCACACACCCCTGGAACACAAAGTACACATAAATATATACTACTACTACTACTACTACTACTACTGCTACTGCTACTACTACTACTACTACTACTACTACTACTACTACTACTACTACTACTAGGTGAACTCCTCTGGAATATACACAAATATACAAGTAGGAATATAGGAATACTGCTATTAGTACTAGTACCACTACACAGCAAAAACTGGAGGGTTAAATTTCAGGGTGAAATATTTCAGAGTTGTTTTTAGCAGTAAAATTTAAATTTTTACTATTTGAAAGTTAAATGGGGGTTTGAATTGGGGTTATATTGTTGATAAGTTAATTCAACTTTCCTTAGTGTTAATTTGGCTCCTCCCACCACCACTTCAAACTCCCGCCAGAGAAGAACCAGTCTGAACCAGTTCTGTTCATAATCTGGTCCTGGTCTGGTCTCAGTCTCAGTCCCGGTCTGGTCCTGCTCTGGTCCTGGTCTCAGTCCCGCTCTGGTCTTGGTCTGGTCCCGGACCTGGATCAGTCCTGGTTCACTCCTGGTTCAGTCCTGGTTCAGTCCTGGTTCAGTCCGTGTGCAGTGTAAAAGTTCGGCATCACAGTCACTGAAGTCACGGAAACGGAAACGGCCGTTATCTGTTTTTTCCATTTTTCATTTAAACACAAAATTGAAAACTGAAAAAACAAATCATTGAGTGTGTTCACATGCACATCAATAACCCAGTTATGATCGGGTTTTTTGAGTGTCCCTGTGACATGTAAACGCAGTATCCCGAATACTGCAACATAAAGTTGAGTCACATGTGTCCAAAAGACACTTTCCAGCCTCTCACCACAACAGTAGTGACATAAATAAATTGACCAACATAAATAAAGTGACCAAACGAGTGAAATGACTGTAAAATAAAGAGCTGCGCTAAACCTGCACATGTACAATCTGCACTCGTGTGACGCTGAAAAGATAAAACATGAACTATCTCCTGTAACACACAGAACAGACTCACCATCATCAGCACCTCTTCTGTCACAGAAATAACACACATAATCCACAGAGTCGAGTCATTTAGTCCAAAAGAAGCTGGTCGCATCAGCGACACAAGGAGCGAGTTGTTTTTATCGCCGCTAACAGTTTATGCTAATTAGCCAAAAGGTCTTAAGTTTCGTTTCTGTAAAACATAAACAAATGTGATCAGAGCTGAATGATCTGATCAAACGGGCTGATGTGTCTATAGTGTTTATGGTTTATATGTTGTAAAGTTGAGTTTATTTATGCAGAAGATTTTAATGAAGAATCTGCGCAGTGGATTGTGGGAGATCTCGTAGCTCCTTAGCTTCTTATGCTAAAGGAGCTCACGGTTTGTATTTTTCCTGGTTCTAGTTAATTTTTGCGCCTGCGCATTTGTAAGATTATGTCAAGAAACCGGGACACTCCATTTGATCATGTACACGCTGATATGAGTGTCCCGGTTTCTCAGTGCGCATGTAAACACAGTAACGAACACTGACAGAACCAGGATATGGCTAATAACCGGGTTATTGATGTGCATGTGACACACTCATTATCTGTTTTTTCATTTTGGTTTTGGAGACAAATAATGAAGAAAACTGTTGTTTTTTCCTTTTTCTTATTTTTGGTTTTATATTGAAAAACAAATGAACGAATGAACGACTGATACATGGATTTTGGTCCAGTGTTACTGACCAAACTTAACCCTGGACCAGATTAGACTCATATAAACCCAGAGAAAACAGAAAAACTGATTCTGTGAGTCGATTTTAACACTCCACTTTTTGCTGTGTAGTACCACCACCACCGTTACTACGGCTACTACTAACAAATACATGAATACACGTTTCTGACTAACTTTGTCTTGAAAACAGCTCTAGGCTCAGAGACACTTTGTCCCGCCCACACTTCCTGTTGGTCAGCCTCTGCAATGAGTGACAGGTGAGCCGTCATAGAAACTTACAAAGGTTTACAGTACGACATATTTAATGCCATACTGTGGAACATTTTCATCCAACTAATTTCAGAACATGTTTGTAGAAGTTTAAATTAAAGGGTTAGCAGCTTTTACACAAACCCCATGGAGACACAAGGGAGGGCATCTGACACACAGAACATTTCAGAACATGTTTGTCGAGGTCTAAACCACAGGGACAGGATTTCCTCTTGAAGACAGAATGTTTATTTGTTTGCAGAGGTGTGTGGCACTCGTGCGTTTGTGGCGCTCGTGCGTTTGCTGCGCTCGTGCGTTTGCGGCGCTCGTGCGTTTGCGGCGCTCGTGCGTTTTGCGCTCGTGCGTTTGCGGCGCTCGTGCGTTTGCGGCGCTCGTGCGTTTGCGGCGCTCGTGCGTTTGCGGCGCTCGTGCGTGCGTTTTGCGCGCTCGTGCGTTTGCGGCGCTCGTGCGTTTGCGGCGCTCGTGCGTTTGCGGCGCTCGTGAGTTTGCGGCGCTCGTGTGTTTGTGCCGCTGCAGCAGAGCGCACAGGCTGCAGTCACCCGATGATGCGGTTCATGTGCTGAGTTCAGATTCTGACCTTTTGAGCGTCTTGATGAACTTGTTGGAGTTGAACAGGTGTTTTAAGCTCCTGGACACAGACTGCTTCCTGCTCGGGTTCTGCAGCTTGGACGGGTCTGAAACAGGAGAAAAATAACAAGTTATCTTCATAAATGCAGATTAAATGAAGCCTTGTTTAACTGACTCCGGTTCTTCACATGGGCCTTTGTGTTCTTTAGACAGGAACAGAAAGGTACGATGAAAGACACCGGCTCGGCTCTGAAGCGTCTGTACAGGTCAAAGCGTCACACAGAACAGAAAAATGAGTCTCACAGAAAGTATCTTGAGCGGTCAGGCTTTTGTGCAGTGAACTGATGTGACCTGATTCAACTCAAGGATCTGGACTAGAGATACGGGTTTTTTAAATGGACAATGTGGTTACAGATAGTTCAGAATCCAAACAGTGCTGATATACAAAGCCCATTTTGAATTAAATAATGTGAAATAACGACAAACTCATCCACATCCTATTCTACAGACTGGATAAGTGCAGTACTCTTTGTGGTTAAGTGTTCAGATAAAGGTTTATGTGAATTCTTTAGATAAGTTTGACCCAAATAAAATACATACTAGTCTATTTCTGGTCTAAACTCTTCCTTGCTCTTGCAGCTTTGGTGGACTTTTGAACAGGGCTGCACTGATCCGATACTGGCACTGACATTGGCGCCGATCCTGAAAAATCTGCTGCATCAGATATCAACTTCCAGCTGATATCCTGGTTGGATTTAAAACAATGTATTGTATTTTTTGGACTATAAGTCGCACTTCATGGTTTGGGTGTTTCCTCCGGTGCAACTTCTATATTAAAATGTTTCTGGTGAAGTGTGGAGAGGTTCTAGTCTTGTGTGTGAGGATCTGCTGCTCCTGTTCCTCCTGCACCTCTGTCACTTCACTCTACTGCACATGTCTCCTGCAGAAAGAGCCTCTGTTCTGTCTGGATCATGTCAGTCGATCGCACCATTACTTTTGCACCACTCGACTATTGAACATTTAAACTTATAAAGACAAAGACTGAACACAAATGCCCCAAAAACAAAATCAGATTCTGCAGATTACAAACTGCAAGTCACGAAATCTGCAGCTGAAAACTGAAATGGAGCAGCAGAAAGAAAGTTTGGAGTGAGAGAGAAACTTGTGACATCGGGAGGATGAACCATGAAACTTTCCTGAAGTCACTGGATGATGGACAAAGTCTGGACTTCAGTGACACTGAAACCATCCTGTCGAGATTCAGAAAGACCCAATAACTAACCCTAACTGAACTGAGTCTGAGTCTGACCACAGCGACACAGAAGAGTTTGTGTCGCTCTATTTACCTCCGGAGGTCGAGGTCGAGTTGTTCAGAAGTGACACGAGGATGATGAACTGAAGTGATTTAGTGATTTGGAGTGAGATGGAGAGTTTGTTAAACTTGTTCTGTTGTTTATAGTTTATCTGAAAAACTATGAAATATGTGACGTTAACAGTCTGTTCTTCTCTCTTCTATTGTTTTTACTAGAACTTGCCTTTGAAATGTCAGTTCCTGGTTTCTGATTTTTGAAGTCCGGTGCGACTTATATATGTTTTTTACTACTTCATTATGCATTCTTTGGCTGGTGTGACTTACAGTATTAATAATGTTTTAACAGTGTTTTCAGTGTCTGCTCTGGTCTCAGTTGATATTGGCAGTGGGGACACTACACTGCAAATTTCTCTGATCTGATTTATTATTTTTTATCTACTTCTATCTAGATTTATTATCTACTTACCAGTTCTGAATTGGTTGTATAATCTTAAAAACTGTCACATATACTCATGAGTACCAGTGAGGTTCATTTATGTTATTAGGTTCTTTTTTTCACTTTTCCACTGTCCTGAGGAAGTGGGACTGCAGGTGGCGCTGTCGTCCTGCCTCCACCGGTAGAAAGACGGCACCAAAACCTGTTTAAATCAACTGAGCGCCACGTCACAGCAACATCACGTGACTCTGAGGCAGGGAGCAGTCGAAACCGTCAGCTATAAAAACAAACTCTTGGTCTGAAAAAAGAACCTAGTAACATGTCACATATACTGTATTTCTTCCATGACTCAACTAGAATGGATCAACTACTCTCATGTCTGACTGATTTCAAGTACTTGCATCTAGAAAATTTAGCCCCTTTGAATTTATCATCAGGCCATGAACACTCATCATAAACAGATTTTAAGTCTGTTTATCTCAAACTTTGCATCCATAAACTTAATTCCAGCCCATGAACATTCCGAGATGCTTCATTCTCGTCTAAAAATCGTTTATTTTAAGAGAACTTGTCAAGTAATTTTATCTTGCTGCATGGACAGAGAATTTCACAATGTTTAAGTCATTTTCTGATAGATTTCAGTGTTTGTATCTTAAATTTTGGCCAAGCTTTTTTGCAGTGTTGTCCGTTGCACACAGGCACAGTGGCTAAAGTGTCTGGCTCGACGACACAGCCGCAGTGCGCAGTGTGTCCAGCTGGGATCGCGCCGCAGACCTGTGATCTCCTTTGAGTGCACTCTCTCTCCTCAGCAGCTCCTTTGTGTTCTCCATACATTTCTCTCTCTGAAAGTGCAGCTGTGGTTATTATGAGTTTCTCTCAGAGTGTTTGTCCCTGACTCTTGTCCACGAAATGCATTCTGGGTAAAAGGAGGAGGAGGTTAAACTGCAAAGAGACGACCTTTAACCTCTGGCCAATCAGAACACTGCGTTTCAGAGGCGGGGGAGAAGAGGGAAAATGTCCGCCGCAGCAGCAGCGACTCCAAACGCATTAGTCAGACTCTTTTACATTTGTGTTGGGAAATCAGACCAGAGCAGCAGAGATAGTTTTAATACTAGTATCAGCAGTATCTGTGGTAGTAGTAGTAGTAGTAGTAGTTAGTAGTACCTCCAGAGCAGTACTGCATGTGTGTATCTCGGACTTGTTGCAGCAGTTTCTCCATGGCCTCGATCTGACCTCTGCGTTTGGGCTCTCGACCATCGCACTCTCTCCAGTCTGAAACAGAACGACCACAGAGTCATCCTCTGTTCCTCTGACCCTCTCCTCCTCTGACCCTCTCCTCCTCTGACCCTCTCCTCCTCTGACCCTCTCCTCCTCTGACCCTCTCTTATTTATTTATTGATTTATTTATTTTGCACATATAACATGACAATAAAAAAGAAGCAGACTACATAAAAAGTAGGTGGCAGAAGAGGCAAAAAACTCAATAGGGCGAAATGTTAAAGCCTCCACCTTATGAATACACTAAAAAATTTACATTTTCACTGTGCATTACAATATATATATATATATATATATATATACATAGAGAGAGAGAGAGAGAGAAATTACATTAAAACACCATGGATTAAATTCTTTTGATTCAAACATGGATTAAAACACAATGAAACATCCACAATTAAAAGATGATCAAACATCACCATGAAATATCAAACATTTCCTCAAACTCTTTTTAAACGACGCCTCTGATCTGCGTCACAAACCAGATGTGAAAACTGCTCCAGAATTTCCCGCCTCTGGATCGTCACAAAACTGAGCTCTGCATGTGACAAAATTTGGAACATGAAAATTATGAATTTGATGAGTTTTGTATCTATGAATCTCTGCATTGGTTTTAAAATAAAATGTGAAATGTTTGAGGATTGTTGTTGAATTGTAAAGAATTTTATACATAAAAATACAAATTTGATAAATATTAATCTCATAAATATTAAGAATGTTAAGTTTGGTGAATAAATGAACAGACGATGTTCGTGGCACAGAATGAGTTACAATTCGAACAAAATGTTTTTGCACCAATAATATTTTGTTCAGAGTCGTAGAGAAAGTGCAGCCCAGACGTTATTACAATATGACAGATATGGATAAATTAAACTATAGTATAATGTAAGTATAAACTTTGAGTCCAGAAATTTACAAACTTTTCTTATAACACCAAGAGATTTGTTAATTTTTCTGGTCACCCAGTCAACTGCTCTTTCCAGTTTAGATTTCATCATCGATAATGACGCCCAGAAATTTGGTCGATGAGACACGTGTTATTTCATTTGAATCAATTTAGATTTTAGGGTTAGTTGGAAATGATTTTTTACCACAAAAATCATATAATTAGTTTTTTTGACATTCAGAGATAATTTGTTAATTTTGAACCATTTGTTATAAGCAGATAAAGCAACATTAGTTTGGTTTATTAAAACATTAAAGCTTGAATTGGATATAAATAAAGTTGTATCATCAGCAAACATTATTGAGATATACAACATAAGTCATTTATGTACAATAAAAATAATAAAGGACCTAATATGGAGCCCTGAGGAACTCCACACTGTAAATCAGCTTTATCAGAATTGCAACCATTGATATAAACAAACTGAGATCTATTACAAATATAATTCTGTAGTTTTATGAAAACCATATTTATATAACTTTGCAAATAAAATTGTGTGACTGACTGTATCAAAAGCTTTTGACAAGTCCAAAAAAATACTACAAATAAATTGATTGTTTTCTAATGCCAACGTTACCTGATCAAATAATTGAAGTAAAGCCATATAAGTACTGTGATTTTTACAGAAGCCATATTGATACTTAAAGAGAATTGAATTATTATTTATATGAGAAAATAACCTTTTATAAACAACTTTTTCTAATACTTTTGAGAAGCAAAGTAAAACAGATATGAATCCGTGTATCATTCGTTCATTCGTTTTTCAATATAAAACCAAAAATAAGAAAACGAAAAAACAACAGTTTTCTTCGTTATTTGTCTCCAAAACCAAAATGAAAAAACGGATAACGATTCGTTTTTTCAGTTTTCGATTTTGTGTTTAAATGAAGAATGGAAAAAACGGATAACGGCCGTTTCCCGTTTACGTGACTTCCGTGACTGCGATGCCGGACTTTTCCACCGCGTACGGACTGAACCGGGACTGATCCAGGTCCGAGACCAGACCGAGACCAGAGCGGGACTGAGACCGGGACCAGACCGGGACCAGACCGGGACCAGACCAGGACCAGACCGGGACCAGACCGGGACCAGACCAGGACCAGACCGGAGGCTCAGAGCCCACGGCAGGGCCGGAGCTCGAAGCTGAGGCTCGGACCCCGTGGAGGCTCGGAGTCAAAGCTCTGGTCCCGGTCTGGTCCCGGTCTCAGTCCCGGTCTGGTCCCGGTCTGGTCCCGGTCTCTGGTCCCGGTCTGGTCCCGGTCTCAGTCCCGTCTGGTCTCGGACCTGGTTCAGTCCGGTGCAAAAGTTCGCATCGCAGTCACGGAAGTCACGTAAACGGGAAACGGCCGTTATCCGTTTTTTCCATTCTTCATTTAAACACAAAATCGAAAAACTGAAAAAAACGAATCATTATCCGTTTTTTCATTTTGGTTTTGGAGACAAATAACGAAGAAAACTGTTGTTTTTTCGTTTTCTTATTTTTGGTTTTATATTGAGAGAATGAGAGCCTCGCACATCAACTACTAGAGACGGTGCGTTGGAGGAGAGGGAGCAGCCCCAGAACATACAGAAAAATCCCGCACACCGTCTCACTTGCAAACTGTGAAATTTATTAGGACAAACCGTGCAACGTTTCGGCACTAGGCCTTCGTCAGGCAAACAGAATGAGAGCTCAGGTGGCCATCTTAAATAGGGTGTGGCAAGCACCCAAGGGTGACAGGTCATAAAGAAACAGTGCACACAAAACCCCATAATTCAAAAAACAAAGAGTCAACATATAGTGTAATAATAATACAAATAATAATAATGAAATCATCATATAACGATCATAGAATAATAAGAAGAATATATGGATACATATAGACATAGTAAACATTCACCCAACTATAAAATAATGTTGTCGTGCCATATACACGTCTATATATATACACAATGAATCTTAAGCTGTAGCCCATATACAGCCCACCCAAAACAAGAGTCCTAATGATGTAAACTAATGTTTACAAAAAGATGCTAAGATTAAAATCGTCATTGATCCTTTAGGAGCTAAAGTTTGGAGAGTGTGAATCCAAAATGCTTCCCTTTGTTTAAGAATGCGGTCATGGTCCCCTCCTCTGGGTGGAGGGGGACATGCTCAATGCCACAGAAACGTAGAGAGCAAATATCATGTCTCTGATCATTAAAATGTACTGCTTACAGGGTCGTCCCGGTCGTTTCTTCTGATGGAGCTCTTGTGTTCACTTATTCTTTGTTTAAGTTTTCTTGTGGTCTTTCCAATGTCCACTAGGCCGCATGGACATTTCAACATGTAGACGACATGTGTAGATGCACATGTGATAACACTTTTTATGGATATTTTTTACCAGTGTGAGGATGTAAAAAATGATCAGTTTTTACAGTATTGTTGCATTGAGCACAGCTGCTGCAGCGGTAGTTACCATTGGGTAGAGGAGCAATAGAGATTGGGAGGATAGTTTAGTTTTGTTTGTGAAATTGGCCCGTACCAGATAGTCTCTAAGATTTTTTGCCTCGTTTGTGAACAAAGAGTGGAGGATCTTTAAAGATGGTTGAAATTTTCCGGTCTGATTTCAAAATATGCCAGTATTTCAGGAAAATTGATTTAATTGCAGGTGTATGGGTCGAATATTGGGTGATACAAGTTACGGAATAATGTTTCTGCCTTTTGGTGCTCTTTTTTAATAGATCTGTCCGTGACTTATGGAGAGCCTGCCCATAAGCATCATCAATCCAAGACATAGGGTATCCTCGCTGTTGGAATCTCACTTTCATGTCAGTGGCTTGTTGAATAAAGTCCTCAGTGGAATGGCAAATTCTTCGTAATCGATAAAATTGACTTGTAGGCAAACCTCTTTTTAGGGGAGTCGGATGGAAACTAGAGGCCAACAGTAAAGTGTTTTTGTCAGTTTCTTTACGATACAATGAGGTGATGATATTCCCATTGTCCTTTTGTACCCACATGTCCAAAAAACTTACTTTGTTAGAACTAAATTGTGCAGTGAATTGAAGGTTGGAATCAAAACTGTTTAAGAGTGACACAAAGCTTTCCAGCTGTTGAATGCTGCCATGGAACATACAAAAAATGTCATCAATGTATCTAAACCATTTAATTATGCTTGATAAATATTGGTTATGAGCAGAATTAAATACAAATTTGTTTTCAAAAAGACCCACATATAAGTTGGCATAGTTGGGTGCACAGACTGTTCCCATGCTAGTGCCGGAAATTTGAAGGTAAAAATCATTTTCAAAGGTGAAATAATTGTATTTCATGACAAATTCGGCAGGTCTGTAATAAGCTGGTTTGGGTAATGGGCTGTTTCACTACGGTTCTGCAAATAGAAGCCTAATGCCTCCAGTCCACCCTCGTGTGGTATATTTGTGTAAAGGCTCGTTGTATCTAATGTTAGTAGATGTGCCTCGTCAGGTAAATTGTTGACAACAGAACATTTTTCAATGAAATCTGTAGAGTCTTTAATATAGGCTGGGAGGGTCTGAACAAAAGGCTTAATGAAGAAATCCACAAAAGTTGACAAAGGCGACCATAAAGAGTTAGTTTGTGCCACGATTGGACGACCAGGAGGATTAGTCAAAGATTTGTGGATTTTAGGTAAGGTGTATATAACTGGGCGAGCTGGGTGTTTACAATAAAGAAAATCAAAATCTGAGTCAGATATCCATTTATTTGTTTTAGCATCCTGAAGATATGAGAAAAGTTTCTTCTGAAAAGCCACAGTGGGGTCTTGGTTCAGTCTTCTGTAAAAACGAGTGTCTGACAATTGGGAAAGAATTTCAGTTCTATATTTGTGGGCATCTTGAATGCATATTGCACCCCCTTTATCAGCAGGTTTAATGACAATATCTTTATCATTCATCAGTTCATTAAGTGCATTTCTCTCCTCTTTTGTAAGGTTGGAGGATATAGCTTTTGGCTTGTCTATCAAATCCATAATGTCATTTTCCACAATTCTACAAAATGTATTTATGGAGGCATTAGGTGAGGTAGGACAGAAAGTACTTTTTGATCTAA